TATAGTATGGTTGCATGCATAAACGTGACATAGTATATATCAAACATGACTTATTATATATTAATAAATAGTAGCTCGCATATGCAAATTTCCAGTAAAGCTGAAAATGCAAAAGGTCTAGTTTCCCCGACAAATGTACGAGCAAAAAAAAGGAGGACGCAGATATAATATATATACGCTCCTGCACAGCGGCATGCAATCATATCCATTTTATTTATATTATTATCGATCGAGTGATATTTATTTGTCATTCCTTTTAGATACAAAATAATGTTTCATATTAAATATTTTGTCTGAACTAAATGATAATTATTGAATGAGTGCATTTGTGGATATATACCGTATATACTAGAGTGAATGAAGAGTCCACGCTCTTTGGAGCATATGTTAATATCAATTTAATCTTTAAATTGTAACAGATCAAAACTTATGTAGTATCTATGGGTTAGAGATTTAAAAACTATATGGTATATGAATTGGGACAATTAGAAGAGAAAAAATAGATATAGATGTTAGTGTAAATTGGATGCTAGGAAAAAGCTGAAGGTTTGTCCCCCTGAAAGTGAAAGGAATGAGGTATTATTATATGGGGATGCATAGATAGATGGCCAAATAAATGGAAATTTAGCTTTAACTTGTGCTACCCTACGACCTATAAAGTACAATATTATATCTCCAACGTAAATTTAAAGATCTGACGGATCTTATTATAATGCCTTTAAATGCCTTTCTGCAGCCATTATAATTATGCAATTCGTGTATGAATATTTTTCTGAAACCCCCTTTAATAATGCATCATTCAATTCCCACACATGCACTTTTTATTTATTTATTTTATAATAATATATATTATATATATTTGAATTTTCTACTATGTATTATTTTTATATGCAATTGCAAGCTAGCAACGATATTTGCCTTCGACAAACAGTACGAATATATTTACGGAAATGTAAATGGTAGTAATGGATCTCGCACGTGGCAATGGTATATGCATATAAATTGCCATTTATTTAAAGCTTTAAATTCTTCTCTCTCCTCCTTTTTACTATATTTAATGAACAATATAAATTACACAATGTCCAATTTATAAAACCCTGCACCACATTTAATTCTTCCCTTATGTTTTTCTAATAAAATATTTATGTTTAGTGAAATCTGGAATAAATAATAGGAACATCGACCAAGATAATTCGCCTCTTCACTATTTTAACCCCCATTTCCCCATCTGTCTCCATTCATTATTTTTTTTTTCTTTCCCTCGAATTAAATTTTTTTAAACCATTTATCACAAAATTAAATTGTTTGTGGCTCCTTAGAAAATTGATAGTTCATTATTTATAGTGTTGATTTACATATAAATATGGAAGAGTTTTAGATTTATGTCTATCTGGTCTTTGTAATAAAAAAAAGATTTTTAATAAGTAGGTCTCGACAACTGTATCTATCATGTCTTTTTATTTTAAAATGTTTCTATTGTCTCTAAACTTTCACTATTGCCTTTGTCAATTTAACATTTATACTACGTTGAGTTGTTTTATTTATATATTATATGATGAGTTTTATTTGAGACAAATTCTGGATGGTGTAAGCAGAAAATTAACTGAACTTAAAGATTAGAAAGCAAGTTGTTATGGGATAATTTAGACATTTGTGGCATAAGCATTAAACTAATTGTATTTAAAATTGCATGCATGGCAGGTTATTTTTTTTTTTTTTTGACAAGTTCAAGCATTTGGTGCCATAAGCATTAAACAAACATGCCATAAGTCTATAAAATTATTTAGAGCCCGTATGATAACGTTCTTGTTTTTTGTTTGTCATTTCCAAATTTCATTTAGAAATCTAAACATTTTACAACTATATATATATTTTTTGTTTCTCTGTTTTAGTAATATTCTTAAAATTGTATAGAAATTTTGAAAACAATAAAAAAAGTTGTTTGTTTCTTCTTCCATTTCTAATTTGTTCTCAAACATAAATCAAAATATTGTTTTATCAACCCTTGAATCCACGAGTATTGAAGTCATACAATTCTATTTTTCTTTATTAAAAAGAGGAAACACGAAATGAGAAAGTTATCAAACAGGTCCTTAAAAATTAAATAGACATAGATCTAAAAGTTTAATAAGTTGTTAGAATTAAACTTTTTTAAAGTAAAAAAACATTATAGTTATGAATACAAAAACTAAAATTTATATTTTAACCCGAACAAAAAATATGAGTATATGTTTGTTGTGTTTTGAATTAGCCTAAAATTGATATTATTGGCCACGTAAATTTAGTTGGCTTTTCTAACTAATAAAACTCGACGTGCATAAAGGAAACGACAGTCGACAATAGCAATTGTTGTCGGGATGAGAGAAAATAAAGAGGCAGAATTATTTTGACCTTTGCGTTGCGTCCCATTGGTTATTCTATTTAATGGTGGGCCCCACTTCAATTGTATCTGTGGTTAAGAACTTAAGATACACTAGACGCGCGTACAGATTGCGTGTTGCCTCCGGGGACTCACGGGAAATTCTTTTCTTTTTCTTTTTCTTTTTTCTCTCTTTTTTTTTTCTTTAATTTATATCAAACTAATAGTAATACAATACAATACAACTCATAAATTTTTGTCCAAAAAACAAAAGTACAACTCATTAATTCCATTTTAAAAAATTTAACTATTTAATCATCTAATATCTAAAAACATCCCATAAACAAAAATTAAACTAATTTCTAGAAATAAAATTAACAAACGCTTTGATCTTTTGAACCAGGTATATATGCTTTAATCAATTCAATAATTATATTTAAGTTGGTTTTTCAACTTGCAATTTAAAGAAAAAAAATGCTACTAAGGTTATTGATTTATACTTCGGTTAAATTAAATATATGAATTCAATATTAAAGGATGGATTGTACAGTTTTTGTTTTAGCACAAAAATGTCTGGTATGGATCACGAATCTATATCAACAAAGACATGCGAAAGAAAAGAATGAGTACTCCGACACTCAAATCAAATTTGGTATAAACTGTTTCACCCTCGAGTAAATACACAAATTCGTATACACCTAAAGGTGAGTTTAACTTTAAGTCAGTCGCGATTCCCATTTCGGAAAACTAGACTCACTACCTGTAGTAGCGGTAAATGGGTAGTTAAGTGCTTCCTTAGTTCCCACTTCCGACCTTTCGAACTACACCTAACTGGCCGGTCGGCCTCGCGAACTACACGCCAACTCAAGAAAGCAACAGGTGGCATCCTAATTTCTGACCCCAACAATTTTAATTTGTGATTATACTTTAAACATTTATGTTAACAATGATATAATTAATATAGTCATCTTTTGATGCGCTGTAAAATTTACATTTCCAACATGATACACATTCTGTTTTATCTTTATTTCTTGCGCATATCTTAAATTGAATTCAAGAAAAAAATAATACTAATTTTACTTTTAATGAGATGGTATCTCTTAAATGATATATATATATATTTAGAAAAATCAATCTTTTAACATGATTAAATCACTAATGAACTCAAAAGTTTAAGCGGAAATGTAAGTACCATCTTAAACATGATTAAATTACTAATGAACTCAAAAGATTAAATTGAAAAACAATTAACTTTATTAAATATAAGAAGATGCTCCATGCATGAACTACATTTGTTAAAAATTGTTATATAGTTGCATCAGTGAGCTAAAGAGTAAACCACCTTATTTAGCTCTCTGACCCATATACATGAATAAAATTTTTAATTATACAAAATTGATTGACTTTGTAATTTAGGTTCAGCGGGATATTCGATATATACATAAAATAATATTTTTAAAATGTTGTATCATCATTCATTTATTTGATTTTCACTGACTTGTTTAATAATTAAAAAAATAGAAATTAAATAATGAATAACTCAAAAGAAAAAACAAGTAATTAAAGTAACTTTATATATTTTTCAATGAAAAAGATAAGAGTACGGAAGAACTAAATAAGATTGGTAAGAGAGTGAATATGGATAATATTTAATTTTGTTTAAGAATAAAAGAAAATGTGGGGAGATGGAATTGGTTATTGGTTATTGGTTAGGGGGTAGAATTAGAAAGAAACATGTTATATGTACTAGCGAGGATGTTGAAGTCACATCGCTGTCCGTATCCGTATTACAACAAAGACGCGTCCAAAAATTATTTTCCTTCTCGAGAGAAAATATTTAAGCGACGACACACATAACAAATAATTATTATTCTCGGCCCTCTCATTTACTAAAATTGAGTCATCTTTTAAATTCGAATTAAAATATTTATATTTACTGTTTTCATTTAATACAGGCCCCTTACAAAAATAGTAAAAACAAATTTAATAGGAATTTATAAAAGAAGTAACAACTTTTCAATTTTGAGAAAATAAGAAAATCTGGCAACCCATGCAAAAGAAAGCAAAATTCCAATAACAACAGGTAAACCAATCATATATATCTTATTTCATATTTGATTTGATATATCTAAAAATTTAAAAAGGTAGTCTAGGGTGTGTGTGATTGATGATCTAAAAACACAAATCTTAAAAAAAGATGGGAATGAAAAAATATGTGTTTACAGTGGATTTGAAAATTGAATCTCAAATTAAAAATGTTGAGATTGGCTAGTAATATATTTAAAATATTATTAATTAATTTATTAACGTATGTTATAAATTTTATTATAAAACATAATATATTATATAATGTATAATATATTATGTTTTACCTATTTTAATTTTAATAAAAATTAAATAAGTATATGACGGGATGAAATGATATATTTATAAAAGTTATTATCTTTTTAAATGTAATTTGTAAAGTTTTAAATTCAAAATAACACGGAAAAAGATGTTGTTTTCAAAAATTTTTATTTAAATCATACCATCTAAAAACAATTTAAAAAAAAATTTGTTAGAATAAAGGGGGGAAAAAAACAAGGTAAAGAAGATGCATCTGTCTTACTCTTGAATGAGTTGGAGACAGAGAGACGGCTGGTTTTTGTTGAAACAGCGTTGGGCCGCTGGCCCATTTCATTATACTGGTTCAAACTTTGACAAGAGTTGATTTGGGTTTCAGAAATGGACTGGTTAGAAGGGGAGAATTAGAATCACAACTCCCCGTCCCATAGTTGTTGAATAGATTTGTAGGGCCCATGGGCGGAGATGAAATCGTGCCTAGACAGCCCTCTCTGCTGCTTGATCTGATTTATGCTGCGGTGATGCTCCTCCGTCAACGCCCAATCAAAAATGGACAGATTCTCTTCCATTCTCCTCTTGTTGGTGCTCTTCACCAGCAGGGTCACCCCTTGTTCGTACACCCATCTCAGAGATACCTGCGCCACCGTCCTGTGCGTGGCCTCCGCAATGTCCTTGAGAATTTCGCAGTCCATCACCTGGCTGGTCCCCCACGACGCGCCCTTCGCTCCCAGAGGAGAGTAGGCCGTCACTACGATCCCATTCGAATTGCAGAATTCTCTCAGCTTCCTCTGCTGCCACACCGGGCTCATCTCCACCTGACCAAACCAAAACAACACAACAGTCGCTACATTTTTCATTTTTGTCTCATTTTTCATTGTCTTACTCTTACTTGGTTCACTGCGGGAGGGATTTTGGAGAAAGAGAGAAGGTTTTGGAGCTTCTTGCAAGAGAAGTTGCAGACGCCAATTGCTCTGGCCAGGCCGAGTCTTTGGCATTCCTCCATGCCTCCCCAAACGGACTCTAAGTCCATTGGAACCAGGTCGCTGCTGTGTATGGAGAAGTCGTCTTTTCCTGGCTTTAGGCTGATGGGCCAGTGTACGAGATACAGGTCCAGGTACTCCAGCTTCAATGTTCTGTTCTGTTTTAGAACTTTCCTTTATTTTTTGTTTGGTTTTTAGGGGGAGGGAAAATAACAAAATTAATACAAACCAAATTACAATTGGTAACCTGAGAGAGTTGCGGAGAGCAGGAAGGACTGTATTAGGATGGGCATCGCCACACCAGAGCTTGGATGTTACGAAGACCTCCTCCCTAGAACTCAAGAGGCCGAGCTCTAGTGCTTCTGCAATGGCTTCTCCGAGAGGTTGCTCGGAGCCATATGATGCAGCGGTGTCGAAATGGCGGTAACCAAGCCTGATGGCCTCGGGTACTGCGGCTTTCAAGGCGGACGCGTCAAATGGGTCGGCCGCCGTGCCCATACCAAGTATGGGCATTCGAACGCTGTGCCCGGACGCGGAAGACTTGAGCGACACTGTTGGCATAGTAGTGCTCATCATATTCATATTCATATTCACTATCGCCGCATTTGCCATGCCTTCCCGCCTTCTCTCAATTAAACTTCAACTCTGCGTATTTATTGGATGTGTTAAAGGGAATGGCGTACAAGTAAGAAGGAGGCGAGCTTCACGTGTTTGTGATTTTCTTGCGGAAACCTAGGAAACGCAACAACTTCCTGCCATCCATTTTCCTTTTCTCCCCTGTTCTGTTCTGCTATTGGGTGTAATCACAGTCTAAATTTGGCTCAGCTGAAGCTTGCTTCAATTATATATTGGGGTTACAGGATACATACATAAAAAGGATCTAATGTCGCGAGAAAAAGTGGGTTAAAAAACAGAGATCTTAAGTTAAACCCAACGCACGGGAGAACGAATTGTTCAAATTCAAATTGGGGTTTCATGGTTTAAATGAAATTAAGAAGTTCAAACACGTTAATTAGGGGAAGTTGATTGAGTTGGGGTGTGGGGGAGCTCAAAAGTTTCCTTGACTCTTCTTCTTCTTCCTTCCTGGGCGTGGAAGCGTTGCATGAACTCTCTGTAAGTGAAGCTTGTGTACAAGGGAGGATGGTGTTCGTCGGTCAGCTCCTCAATTGGCTTGATCACCGTGTCGTCGTTGGGTGCATAGAACATTACCATGGATACTCGTTCCATCACGCTGTTGGTCACAGCCCTGTGGATCACACTCTTGTACCTTCCATTGCTCAAAACCTGCTCCCCATCACATTACCGATTTTCATTTTCTGCTTACTCAAAACACAAACATTTTCATTTTCTACTTACTCAAGACACAAACATTTTAATGTTTCAATCGGTCACCCTCACATGTTATACTAAAAAAAATTATGAATAACAAAACCTAACCTTTTAAAACTTTTGTATAACAAAGCAAAAATACTTCTAAACTTAATATTTAAAAACAAAAATAAAAAATAAAAGCAAAATAGTTATCAAACAATCTTCTCTTTTCCTAATTAACAAAATCTATATTTTCTTTCTTTAAATGTAATCAAACCTTTTCTGTGTTCTATTAACTTATTTATTTATTTTTCAATTTTTAAATTGTACAGGGCTAAATACCTCATGAGCGGCGACAATATTCAATATCTAATGATACCTTCTAAGAATGCAATAGAAAGTTGGTCATCTAAAAATGAGACAGAAGACAATATTTCTATTGTTATGATGTCTTTTGGATGAAACCAAAGATAAAATTGTATGATAGAAATGTGGAGGGTTAATTGTCTTTTAACATTTAAAAATATGCCTTCTTGGAGTAGGAACAATACAACAAAATTAGTGTATGACTCCTGCATAGTCTTTTTTTAAATAATAATATTCAACAAAATTAATAATCTCCACTTGGCTTTATTTAAAAAAAAAAAAGAAAATACATATATATGATTATGATTTTAACACAAATGTAAAATACTGTAACTGCTTGTTGAAACATACATTTATGAGCATATATTGAATTGAAGTATGGGTGGTATCATAACCACAATTTGTAGACAAATAATTTTAGAAGAAAAACAATTTTATTATTATTATTTTTTCTAAGAAAAGCATATCACTCGTTCATACAGTACTAAAAGAAAATTAAAAATTTAAATTAAAAAAATGGTTACCTTAAAAGTTCTCAAATTTTGTTCTAAACCTGTTTTAACTAGCAATCATGTACAATTCAATACTGTTAGGAAGCCTCTGTGCTTTTTTTCTTCCACTTATACAATGAATATGGTGTCAAGTCAGATTAATAAAGTCAACGTCTTTATGTATAGGTTGGTGTTGACTAAGCAAGAAATAATCAAGAATGAATGATTTATTGTAATTGTAAGAGGGAAAAGGAAAAGAAAAAGTATGATAATGGTGAATGGTGGTTGTGTGTGTGGTGTTGGCGTACCTGGACTTGATCAGCCAAATTGACGACAAGTGAATTGGGAATAGGATCGACGGAGACCCAGTGGTCATCTTTCATGATATGGAGCCCACTGGGGGCTTGGTTCTGCAACAGCACCGCAATGGCTACAATATCAGTATGGGCCCCGAGGCCCATGGTGAGCTCTGGGTCCGGACAGGGCGGGTAGTAGTTGGCCTGCGAGTACAGCTCCGGCTTGGCCCCGATGCGCCTCTTGAGCGCGCCCTCCTCCAGGCCCAGCCCCAACGACATCAACCCCAGAAGCCTCTCCATTAGGCTTCCCATCTCCCTCGCGTACTCCCCGTAAACTTCCCTGTATACGGCTGGCTCTTCGGGTACCACGTCCAGATACTCCGTCTCCACGGGATCGGGATTCCAGGGAAGCGTGAAGGTTTCGCTCCACATGTTGACCCTCCGCCCCTCCACGTTGGCGTAGTAATTGAAGATTTTAACCTTCTTCTTGTGGTCGGTGGTGACGTATTGGTTCCTGTGTTGGGGAGGGAGGTGGAAGAATTGGGCGACTGTGTCCAGTACTCTGTCGCACAAGGCTTGCGGGATTCCGTGATTGATGACCTGGAAGAAGCCGTACTGCTGGCAGGCTTCCGATACTTTTCCAACCACAAGGGATTGATCATCGGCGGCCAAGTCGATGACCGGAACAGAGATGCCGTGTGACACTTGTTGGAGACGTGGCCTTATGTCCTCCGGGAGAACAAAGGAAGGAGACAGGGAAGGAGGTTGAGAATCGCACGCCATTTGGAACCTTGCCGCCATACTTTCACTTTTTCCTTTCGTTTCAGGCTTTCAAGCTTTCAGGTGTGTGATAGATTGGAATTTCCAAATTTATTTTATACAACACACAGGAGACCGAGACCACAGACCAGATCAGATCATAATTTCCCACCGACCACCGGCTCCACTCCCATACTCGATGCTACTCCTCCGAGCTCCACGTGTCACCCAACACAACTTGTTCCCTTTGATATAAAACGGAAAAGACTTGACTAAGTCGATGGTAATACCATTAAATAAATAAATAATTTGGCTCGTTGAAATTAGTGAGAAACTTCCTTTTAGATAGAATTACGTATTTGACAACTCAGAGATGGAGAATGCAAAATTAAAAAAAAGAAAAAAAATTTAAATGATGAGTTTATTAATAACCTTTAATGAGTTAAAGTTTTTATTTGATAACCCATTAATTTCTTTTTTAATTTCTGTATTTCTCTCTCTTAACTGACAAATATTTAATAATGTCGAGGAATAAGTTCGTCCTTTAATTGAAAGGAACCAAGTTTTTTCCATATAAAACTAAGACCTCGTTTACTTACCCGCAATCGTAACAAAACTTTCATTATCGTTTACTAAATTGTAGGAATGAAATTAAATGGCGAGATCCTCCTCAAGTTAATAGATTGATGGGAGAAAAATTGTTAGAGGATAATGGGAATGGAATCAAGGGATGACTTGGAAGATAATTCTTATTGGGAGAAAAATACGCACTCTTCCACTGAGTTTTATTCTTATTCTAAGAAAGCTCAACCTAGATAATGCAGAACAGTTTCAACAAGAAAACTTAGTCAACTTAATAAATTATATATATATATATATATATATATATATATATATCTTAGTATTGTTACGTGATTGTAACGTGTAGCATTAAAAATTGTTAAAAACTTCAACTTGCATTTTGATTTTTGAGCATATATATTAAAATGGAGGTAGGAGAAACAAGTTGTAGATTACCTTAGATATTCTCACATCATAGAAAATAACGTAAGGATATAGATCATCCATCCAACTTTCATTTTTAGTTATTATTCTATATATCAATATTCATGGGTTCCATCTTAAAACCAATTAGTAATGAGAAAAATAGTCCATATCTATTATTAACTTTTATTAGATCCATTATCTTTTCAATGTGGGATCTTTAACACTATACAATTCCGCTCTTCATGGCAAAAAAATTAAGTTTGTGACTTTGCAATAGGAGCATGTGAAGAAAGAAGACGATGCCTTATTTTACGCAATTTCTTTTTATGTTTATTTACACAATTATAAATTTTGAATATTATTTAGGGATCAAGATTATAAACTAAAATATAAATTAACTGGAACATGCATGATATAAATTTTAGGTGATCTTGCAAACAAATGAACTTTTTTTTACTTTAGATTAAAACCTGCTAATAATCGCGGGCAGGGGAAGTCTGAAAAAGTTGTAAACCTTATTTCCAAAAACCATTGGTACAAAGAAAAATATTTGCCACATATGTCCTTGGAAGAAATAGGATTAAAAAAAGAAATCCCTCCAAGTCCAAACTTAGAATTAGAAGTGTTTTTTTTGGTGAATGAATATTCAGTGAACTATAACAAAAACTTTGTCCGAAACTTCTTTCTCCAGGTTGGTCCAAATACAAATGGTATTAATTCTGGTTCTCATCCATTGAATTTGGTTTCTATTTTCGTACGGAAGCAAGAAGAATCTCCATTTGTGTGGAAGGAAAGCTCTTCTTCTTAAATATCATCCTTCTGACCTTCTCTTCTCTACCAAAATTTCTTCCGCTTTTTTATTATTATTATTTTCGGAGATTGTCATTCTCCATTTGAATAAATTTGTTTAGGATAATAATACTGCGTCTCCCATTAATTAAAATCCCGAAGCTATCGGCCTTCTCTCCGGTGTGCGTCTCAGCTTCCCAGCAGCAATCGCTTAACATTACAGAAACAAGAAACTAATAGTAACAAACAAAACGAAGTTATATAAAATCACGGTTGCAATGATCAG